GAGGAAGCGGGTCTGGCCCACGAAAGCTCATCACCTAATAAACCATCTTGTTAGTCTTTAAAGTGCTACATAGTCCTGTTTTTTGTTTCAGGGGAAATGAAATGAGCCTATGTAGTCCACAGACATCTGCTTAAAGTAAAGGGCTTTTTGACTATCTCTGAATTAACTGACCAGCCTGTCTTCACTTTTGGCAGCATTGGGGTTGCTGAAATGAATGTGCTATGCAATGCTAGCGACAGAACTGGGGCAATGTAGTGGTGATTTTAGCCTCCTCTCCCTGTGCTAATGCAGTCTTAATAGGTAGGAGGAGACCTGAGGCTATGGTGTCAATTGCACTTAAAAGTATGCTGCTTTTGTCAGTTGACTTGCGCGCTGTGCCGACGATCAGCTGAGCCGGCACAGTGTGGCGGCCATTTTTATGTTAATGAAACCGGGAATATTTAAATCCCCTCTTCATTGACTATGTCAGGGATCTTATTTTACATGGCTCTGTCGGAAGAGGCATGTAATCTAGATGCACCCTCAGTGATTGGTGCCTAGTGGGGTCCCGGAGGCCAGTAGTATTGCACAGTGGCATTGAAGCCTCAGCAGCCTGGCTTTCTCCCTAGTCGCAGGCTGAGTGTAGCATTCAGCTTCTGATTAACTCTGGCAAAAGGTGACCTAGAAATAAAGTGCTACATAGTCCTGTTTTTTGTTCTAGAAATAACAGGTGAAAGATATTTTGGGGAGGACAGGGAGACGGGACAGGGTTGAAAGCCAGGTTTGACATGTTTCAGCCTTATCTAGTCTTGTCAGGAAAACAATGCCCACCACAAACCTGGAGAGACGTGAATCTACAGATTCACCCATGTTTTCAAACAGTACCCAGTTAATGCTCTATGAATAAATTGATTTTTCATTGCACTGGCAGCTCTGAAAAATAAACAAACAAAAAACATCATGTCAAACCAAAGTAAAAACTTGTGAAAAACTTGACAGCAGCTGGCTAGAGGTGTCAGCATGTCCTTTGTCTCTGAGAATCTGGTTTATGCTGGCTTGTCTGGTAAACATATTTCAGATCTAATTTCAGCTGATCTTCATAACTTTACATGTAAGTTTGCTAAATAAATTTCATCATCATATTGTGACTAGCAAGTTCTTAATTTTCAGATGATACCATAAAACACATATTTTGTACTAAGATTATTACAATAGCATGTAGGGCAGGGATCTCAAACCGAAGGGAGAGGGAGAGAGATCAGAATAGCCCAGTGACTAGTGCACTCTTCTGTAGCATGGGACACCAAAGTTCAAATCCCTGCTCTACATCTTGCAGAGGTAAGAACTGAACCAAGGTTTCCCAGAGAACAGTTTCCCATTTGCCTGATTTCCTTGTTGCCTGCAGCAGAGAATCAATCAGCCAGCACTTCAGTTATTTCTCCCTGTGAGAGGAAGAGGGAGCAGGAAATGGTAGGAAGGAAGAGAAGAAACAGAAGGTAAAGGAATGAAAACAAACATGCAAGAACACGCAGATTAAAGGAGCTAAAGTACAAATCAAGGAAAAGTAAAGGTCATTGGGGAGGGAGAGGGAGAGAGGAACAAAAATAAATAAGAAACCCAAGAGAAAACAGAGACTTAGAAGAAAATAGCTATAAATGGGAAAGAGATGAGAAGATCAGATGTGAGAACCCAGGAGCTGCCATGCAAGCTCTGATCAGTGATAGTTCTGTTCTGTGTAAGTTTTTATACTGCACGCATCACTGGTATCTGAATGCTTCCCTCCATCTAGTTCTGTATCCTGATCTCCGAGTGGTATTAGATTAGGGTTGCCAGATGGTTTCGGAAAAAATACCGAACAACAACAACACAAAACATGCCAGGAAAAAGATTGTTGAGCAACAAAAAGGCCCTTCAGAGGAGTTAAGCAAAAAAAACAAAACAAAAAATATGCTCAACAAAATTTTTTCTGGCTCGCAGAGTGGGGGCAGAGCAGAGAAGGCTCCCCTGCCCCCAAGCTTTAATTGGCCAGGGGGCGGGGGAGTGTGCGAAGCCTCCTCCTACACTGCCAGGAACACATGGTGTTTTGAAGTGCCTCACGCTGCTTGCAGGGCAGGGGGGAGAGCGAAGGAGGCGTCACACGCTCCCCTGCCCCCAGGGCAATCAGGGCATGGGGGCGGGGGAACTGCATGAAGCTTCCTTCACCGTGCCCTGGCCCTGCAAGGAACCCGCGGCACTTCAAAGCACTACATGCTCCTCACAGGGTGGGAGGAGGCTTCCGGCACTCCTCTGCCCCAGGCCCTGATTGGCCTGGGTGTGGGGGAGCGTGCCAAGCCTCTTCCATGGCATGGGCGCCTAGTGGGAAGGGGGACAAAGGGGCTCCCCCACCCCCAAGCCAATCATGGTCTGGGGGTTGAGTAGCCCTGCCCCATCCTATTTAGGCTCTGCCACTTCCTGTTTATGACCCGCCTCTTTTGGGATGGCCATGGGCTACTTCAAAAATTTTTGAAGTGGCCTCCGGGGCAAAAATTATTGTCCATCTCTGGTATAGATGAACAATGTACCACTACCTATCTGTCTCTGGTGGCCCTTTGTGTTCATTTCTCATTACTCTTAGTCTTTGAGTTCCTATTCAAAGTCAAGGATACTCCTCTAACCTTCACTTCTGAAAACATCTCTTTTATTTTGCTGTGAATGCTGTGGGTCTGCCTCATGGAGCATAACCGGTAGTGATATTTGGGCAACTCAGCTTATTTTTTAAATTGATTTTGTGTTTGTTTAAACCTTGGAGAGTTGGTATAGTATATTGATTACCTTTCAAATTCCAGATCTTGTGTTAGTAATCCTGACATTGTTTAATCGTTTTATAAAGTTTCTCATCATGTATCCATTGGTGACTCCTTGTCTCTAAAAAGGGACTTTGTCATCCCATTGAAATGTGTTGGAGGTAGTGGAGCTCAGAGGTTTTGCCTTGTTTTCTGTAGCCTATATAATTCAGTTTCCCTATAGTAATTAAGAATAAAACTCACCTAAATGCAAAGGGTTCACAAAAGGTACCTTTGTCTGTTTCTGATTCAGCTCCCACTGGAGCCAAGAAGAATTTTCCATTGACTGCAGTGTATGGTGAGGCAATGGATGATTTCACCATTTGTCACAAAGGCCGTGTCCAGACTCAGGGTTTTTTTCGGGAAAAGTAGCCTTTTCCCAAAAAAACTTCCCCTGCGTCCAGACTCAAGCCGCGTTCTTTCGAAATTATTTCGAAAGAACGCGACTTTTCTTTCGATGGCGGTAAACCTCGTTTCACGAGGAAGAACGCCTTCTTTCGAAAGTTCCTCTTTCGAAAGAAGGCGTTCTTCAATGTAAAGAGGCCGTCTTCGAAAGAGAGCATCCAGACTCGCTGGGTGCTCTCTTTCGAAAAAGCGGATTTCTCTTTCGAAAGATCCACCTGCAGTCTAGACGCGATCTTTTGAAAGAGGCTCTTTTGAAAGATGCTTTCGAAAGAGCCTCTTTCGAAAGAAGCCTGCAGTCTAGACGTAGCCAAAGCAAACTAGCTCTCCAGTAATACGTGTGATCTAATTTTCTGTCCCAGCGAAGAATGAAAATAAGTAGAAGAACAAATGCAGGTAAATTCAAATCTGGCTTTATTCACACACAAAAGAGGTAAATTCTTTTTGGGATACAGTAAAATGGGAGATACATGCCTGGGATGATGACCATACAGACTGCTTTTGACTAAGAACCATGAAAGGAAATAAACAGAATTATACAGTAGTGTGAAAACATCTGAATAATGAAAAATAACAAAGGACGGGATCCTGTTTTCCTTACTCCAGCTAAACTCCCACCTAATCCATTGAGAGTTTTCTTAGAGTAAGGACAAGAACATGCTGTCAGTCTTGGAAATGATTTTGATATGCACTGCAAATGCATATTAGATTACAGTAATATGATATAATGTGATTTATAAATAATCCCAAATAATTAGATCAGGATTTGTTTTTCTTTAGAAATAAGAATGAGGAAATTAGCAAACCAGTACGTTTGATTTGTAGTAAGTGCCACTGGATCCATTCTCACTCACTTCAAGCTGCACGCAATGTTAATGGTTATGTACAATCAGGGCCTGATCCCAAGCCCTCTGAAGTCAACAGAAAGGCTCTTCCAATGGAAGAATTCTAACATCAAGATTTGTTAATTTTTCCCTTAATGGGGAAGAGCTAATGAGAATGGAAAGATGTTTGCAGGGATAGGGATTCCTGGCTCAATTCTGCAAGGTGCTGAGTAATTCTTGTGAGATGCTGAGTTCAGTGGGAGTTGAAGGTACTCAGTATCTCACACTGTGTTCTCAGTACCCTCCAGGATGGGACCCTTTGGATGTGGCTTTCACAGAGGAAGTCCCTCTGAGATATAATGTACCTGCTTTGAAAGAGGAAGGGAGCCCTAGCTTCTCTGATGGGAGCAGATCATCCAGGGTATGTGTACACTACAAGGGTATTTCTAAATACGTTTATTTTGGAATAATAACTCCCGAAATAACGATTTTGAAATAGCACGTCCACACTACAGGAAAGCCTTGAAATTAGTCTCAGGCAGTCTTCCCCAATGTGGCATTCCCTCAATTCAGAGCACCAGGAAGCACTAGGGAGTAATTACTTTGAATGGCCCAGGGGAAGAGCTCTTTCATAAAAGCAGCAGTGGAGCATCCACACTACTGCTATTTCGTAATAGCAATTTCAAAATAAGTGTTATTCCTCATGAAATGAGGGTTTAGAGTTTTGAAATAAGAAGCTTATTATTTGGAAATAATTTTGAAAAAACTGGCTTGCTGTGTGGACACTCACCTTATTTTGAAATAATATGTATTATTTCAAAATAATGCTGTAGTGTACACAGGAAAAATCTGTCAACGACATTACTACACAGATTTAATTCTGCTTAGTTTGGTGGGTTCCAAAAGCATGCTGGAAACTGAAAAACAGATGTTTGCCCAAAGGGCACTTTCTGGGTA